TTTTCATATAGAGAAACACATATAAACATATAAAAAATCCACGTTGGAGGAGAAATCTATTTGTCACTAATTTTGCTAAAGAATTTCTCTATCTTGCCAATTAGTTATTTTTCACTAAAACTGCCATCCATCTAAAAGCTGGCTTGCAACAGCTAATCAGGATTCTTAAGCAATACCAAACAGGGATTTTGTAAATCAGAACTCATTTTATTCATGCTGTGTGCACTTCTAATTGCATAATATTAAACAGGACCGTAGCAGGCGAACAGAAAAAGAAGAAACTTTTAAATATCCAAAACAATTAGGCTCTGTTCAAATCAATCACATAAAATTTAGGACCCAGAGTACACTGGACTAATTTAAAATTTATGTAGGGGATGCTGTCATCTGAGTTGTCCCACTAAAAGGCTTCACCTGCATTCTAATCCACCATTGCACCACTCTTAATTCCTGTATTTTCAGCAGTTCTTTGATATTCATAAATATGGAGTAGATTAACTCCTTAGCAGAAAAATTCTCATCCCTCCTCCCTTATTTATCCAAGTCCAGATGTGATTCCTTAGTGACCATGAAGGTAAACTGAACTTTGAATTCATTTTGTATTATGTTATTATTTTGTATTATGTTATTATTTTGTTCAGTGCATTCCTTAAAGTGTGATATTAGTCAGAAAAATCATGACTGAAATGCCACCCTTGCTAAGCCCAAGGGAGTCTGATGAGTAAATCAGAAACAGGAATATGTCTTCCAATTCCCAGATTCTGCAGACATTGACTTAACTATATCAATTTTGCTCATAAGCAATTTACTGGGAGTAACACTCACAAATTCACTTAGGTGAATAAAGGATTCATAAGAAGACAGTAATATCCATTTCCCAAACAATTTTCCATTCCCTGATGGTAACATCAGGGCTGGATGTTACTGTTTGTTTATCTATAATTTAAGTATGATTTCTATTAATGAAGGAAATAAATTTATTCATTTGGGGGAAAGCTCCCATTCATATTGATAAGGTTTGAGGTTGTCTTCTTGTTCACTGTATTTTATCTAGGTCCTTCCCAGCAGGCTTTAAAATGCTCAAATGTAGAAAACAGATATGGAGAACACACTTGCAGGGTCAGAGCACAGATGAGGTTAGAAGCTCCAAACACCCTACACAAAGCAGGGTGGACCACAGCTGGTTGCTCAGGCTTTAAGCATCTCTAAGGACAGAGACCCTACAACCTCTAAGCAATTCATTTCAGTGTTTGATTACAATTTAAAAGCAAAACATACTATTCTTACACTCAAATGCAATTTCCTATTTCATTTTCAGTCATTTCCCCTTATCTTGTTTTCTTGTCCTTCAAACCACTGGAAAGAGTCTGCCTCCATATTTCCTTCTCCCATCAAATGTTTATAAAAAACTTGGTAAGTTACCCTTGAGCCTTCTTTTCCCCAGGCTAAACAGTTCCAGCTCTCAGCCTCTCCTTGTATGACAGGTACTCCAGGCACTGATTCATACCCATGGTCCTTCACCATATTGTTCCAATATGCCCTTTGTCTCTTGGGCCATGGAACCCAGGACTGTGGTATAGCACTCCAGATGTGTTCTCAGCAGTGGAGAAGGATAACCAGACCAGACTCCTGTTTCAAAATCCAGTTCCCCAAAGAGTCCCTGTGCTCACACACTTCACACCAAAATCATTTTTTGTCCTTAAGCTAGAGAGGTAATTTGCTCCCACTGACTTTACCAGAAAAGGTCTTGCTTATGCCCCAGTCCTCTCCTGTAACAAACCTTTTCCTACCTCTCCCCACCAAGATTCCTTTACCTTCCCCTCCTGTCTCTTCTGGAGGGATGCCCATGTGGAAGCCCATTTGCTATATACCAACTTCTCCCCTTCACCAGTTATACCCCTAAGTCTCTCTCAGAAACTCTCTAAATCTTTCCCATATAAAGATCACATTCCCAGAACTTTGGGAACTTCTCACTTCAAAGTCCCCCAGTGTTCCCCAACCCCATCTTTGATCTGACATTCTTTATGGCCTTTCCATAATTGCCCTTTCCCGTTGCATTCCATACAAGTTATCTCCTTCCAAGAGAAGGCCCTGTGAGGGCTACGTACTCAGCCTCACCAAGGATTTCTTGTCACATACTTTAAGGTTCTGAATTCCTGCAATGCTCCTGGCTCTTGCTTCTCTGTTTGGAGCATTAAAGTATATTTGAGGTTGCTAAAGCAAATGTTTAGACAACACCTGGGTCCTTCACCATCACTTGAATTTCCCCACTTTCTCTGTAAAGTAAATTTGTTGGACACCAATCACTCCCTGAAAATTTGCAGTAGAGAAGCTAGTATAGACATTAGCCTAGAGACATGATGAGTGCACAATTTCCTCACACAATGCCAGTTTTACTGGCAAAAATCACAGGGATTGGGTTGTAGAGCTTAAGCTATACTTATAGAGAGTATATTGTCAGGATCTCAAAGTCCAGTATAAACCTTTTGCAGTGGAAAACAAGATTCCTGTATCACTACAAGTTCTTATGTGCAATAAGCTGCACATAGCCCAACTCCACTTTACCCCTCAACTTCAGTAAAGCAACTAGAGTAATGCTAATTATCTTTGCAAACCTCTCAGAGCAATTTTTGGTACGAAGTAACAGTCCTTCTGAGCACATTCTCATGCAGCATGGCCATTCTTTTTTCAGCTAATTCTACTTGAGCTTAATGTCATGAAAACAGCATTTAAGAATCTTTGGTATGTCTTCTTGCTTCTCTTTTAGCACTTGAAGGCAAGAGGTTACTTCAGAAACAAGCTTTACTGCCATTATTCTGTCCATCACAGCTTGCAGTCAAAGCTCAAAACTGAAGGCATAAATTGAGTTTCTGCTTTGAGCAACTGAGAAACAAGCAAGTTTTGCACAGTAGGAAACCATTCGAAAAATCGTTGAAAAATTTTCAGCATTAAAAAGTAAAACACCAACACACACAACAGCCAAAAATTAAAGGAGTGTACTGTGGGTTTGCAGTATGATCTGCCGTATGGTCATCCTCCCTCATGAGCCTACACCACAGACTCATCTTTCTTATCCTCCTTACCTTACAGGATCCAGGATCTGTCAGCTTTAGCTTTTTCTAATTTAAAAAAACCTCATCTCCTTCACTGTAGTACAAGTTCTTTCCATAATAATCATTACTTTTTACAGAAGTAGAATGAAGTATCTCATCCCTTATTTTATTCTTGCAGGACTCTTATTCCTTCTGGACCATAGCTACCATAGCTCAGAGAGGGTCCTTGCAGGAAATCTTCACAGCTGAATAGAATAACAGAAAAAACTGTTCGAAAGGGACTGTTGGAGTACACAGTGCTTTCAAAAATCTACTGCCAAAGAATTTTGACAGGCATATAAAGTCGTATATCATATTCAGTATGAATATCAAACTTTATTCAGAGTGGTAAGTATGTAACAATTGGTATAGTTTGTTACTCTTCTTTAGTATTATCCTTCATTCTTCACTTAAGAATCACAGAATATTTTCTTTTACTTTTTATATAAAAGGACATCCTAAATTATTTGGACTGTATACTCACAGGGAAAAGAAAAAGATAATAAAACTGAGAGCCCTGCAGTTTCATTTTATTTGTATGAGAGCAGCAAGAGAAGAGCAGCTCCACAAGGCATAATAAGCCAGGAACCAAAGGTGACCACAACACTGGAAGTTCCCTCACTCCTCAGGGCATGTTCCCAGAGGGTTTGAACACAGCAGGCAGGCATGGTGATAATAACAGAGTCTGTTTGTAGTCTCAGACAAAGCAAGGTAACGAACCAGGTCCTGGGTATGACCTGGGACCCCAAACAGTAGATCAGAGCAAACAGGGCTAGAGATAATGCTGCAAAATGGGTCCAATACCCATCCAAAAGAAAGTACTAAGCACAAGGGCACCTAAAATAATGACCGAGAAATGCTCTAAGAAGCAAGACCATAGACAAGGCTAGAGCCAGGTACACCTGTTACATAACTTAGAGTAGGAGTGAGTGCCCAAGCCCCGGATTAAATGGAGATCCTGGGATTACAGGCAGAAGACATGGGTGGGGGGCCCAGGTGAGGCTGGTCAGGGAAACTAAGGACTACCAGTGGCCTCATGCCCCAGCCATGGTTCAATGCCAGATTATCACTGGTGTTAATACTCAGTATCTTTCCCAACAACTTAAATCATGTGACAAGATACAGCCTCAGAAAATATTTCGAAGCAGTTTGGGTACATGCTAGTCCCTCAAAGCAGCAATATTACTTCACTCTGAGGTTGTGAGCATCGGCTTGCAAATTCCAGTGCCTGAAGTACACACGTTACTCATCCTGGGAGCTGAGCTGCCTGCACTGAACTCCATCATCCTGAGAAAACATCTGTTTGAGAAGCCTTGGAACTCAGCTGCAAGGAGTTTGAGTAGAAGCTCTGCTGAGCTTTATCTCAAGGCTCCTGCCCCTGCCAACCCTGCAGTGCTGCTTTCTCCTATCTTTTTCTCCCGTATGGAGAAGGTTCTTGTTGGCCACGCAGGCACAGGGTGGGCTGTGGGATGATGAAAAGAAGGCTCTGGGAGCGCAGTGACCCAGAACAGGCGAACAGGAGTGCGGCACATCTCTGCAGGAGTGACACAGCAGCTCGAGCAGGCAGGGTAAGAAAGCAGGGCTGCAGGGTTCCTCTTGCTAGTAAGGTTCTTCATCTGTTATCTCTGCTGATTGATTGTTTTTTTGTGTTTTGTTAATAATAGTTTTTACACAGTCAAAAACTGCAGTTAGTAAAAGTGCTTGTTGCCGGGTCGAACCCTCCAAAAAGGATGCGTCTGTCCAGACCCATCCATGTGCAGAGTGTTTATCTGTGGCTCTAGGGGGGAGCTGCAGAAGAAGCCTGCCTGCAGTGAGAACAAGTGAATGATCTCCTTTCACTGGTGGCCGAGCTTAAGGAGGGAGTTGAAAGACTAAAAAGTCTTAGGAAAAGTGAAAGGGAAGTAGAACGGTGGAGTTCCACTCTTCCATCCTTGAGGGAGGCCCATCAGGAGTCAGAGGACTCTCAAACCTCCCACTGTCAGGCAACAGGAGGATACCTGGTGGATGAAGGGGACTGGAAATGGTTCCCTGCTCAGGGAGGTAATAATAAAAATTCCTCCCAACCCCCATCACCTACCCAGGTACCACTTCAGAATAGGTATGAGGCCCTGGATCTAGAGGGTCAGCCAGAGGATGTAGAAGAAAATTTTCTGACCAGTGAGCCTCCCAATTACACTTCATCTGTTGGACGAATCACTACCTCTGACATTAAAAAGAAAAGAAGGGTCATCCTGGTGGGTGACTCCCTTCTGAGGGGAACAGAGGGGTCCATATGTTGACCAGACCCATTCCACAGAGAGGACTGTTGCCTCCCTGGGGCCCAGGTATGGGATATTACCAAGAGACTCCCTGGGCTGATTCAGCCCTCTGATTATTATCCACTGCTGATACTCCAGGTTAGTAGCGATGAGATTGAAAAGAGGAGTGTCAGGGCAATAAAAATGACTTTAGGGCACTGGGTCAAGTGGTTGATAAGGTGGGAGCTCAGGTAGTGTTCTGCTCAGTCTCTTTGGTGATGGAAAAAAATGTTGAAAGGAATAAGAGAGCCCACGTTATTAACAAGTGGCTCAAGGGTTGGTGTCATCGGCATAATTTTGGGTTCTTGGATCATCGGGTGACTTTCTTGGCACCTGGCCTGTTGAGACTGGATGGGCTACATCTCTCTGTTAAGGGCAGAAGGTTTTTAGCTCATGAACTCGCAGACCTTGTTGAGAGGGCTTTAAACTATGTTTGAAGGGGGAAGGGGATGCAGCTGCGCTGTCTGAAAGCAGGCTCAAGGGTGATAAGCCTGAGCTAGGGGTGAAGTCAGTAGCCCAGCTGAGGTGCATGTATACCAATGCATGCAGCATGGGTAACAAACAAGAAGAGCTGGAGACCATGGTGCAACAGCAGAGCTATGATGTAGTTACCATCACAGAAACATGGTGGGATGACTCAACACAGCTGGAGCACTGCACTGGATGGCTACAAGCTCTTCAGAAGAGGCAGGAAAGGGAGAAGAGGTGGAAGGGTGGCCCTTTATATTAAGGAGGCTTTTGATGCCATGGGTATTGGAACTAGTGAAGATGGAGCTGAATGCCTGTGGGTAAGAATTAAGGGGAAGGCCAACAAGGCTGACATCCTACTGGGAGTCTGTTATTGTCCACCCAGTCAGGAAGAACAGGTGGACACCTTATTCTTTAAGCAGCTGGAGAATGTTTCAGGATCATCTGCCCTTGTTCTTGTAGGTGACTTCAACCTACCAGACATCTGCTGGGAACTAAATACAGCATAAAATGGCAGTCCAGGAAGTTTTTAGAGTATGTCGAGGATAACTTTTTGCCACAGCTAGTGAGCAAGCCTACCAGGGGAGAGACTATATTAGACTTGTCTGTAAATTAGAGATGGGCTGGTGGGAGATGTGGTGGTTGGAGACTGCTTGGGACACAGCGATCATGAAATTATAAAATTCTCAATATTTTGTGGTATCAGGAGGCCCATCGATAAGACTTTTTCATTAGACTTCCAGAGGGCAGATTTTGGCCTATTTAGGAGACTTTTTCAGAGAGCTCCTTGGGAAGAAGCCCTTAAGAACAAAGGAGTCCAGGAAAGGTGGATGTGCTTCAAAACAGAGGTCTTGAGGGCACAGGAGCAGACTGTCTCTGTGTGCTGAAAAATGAGTCAACGAAGCAAATGTCCAGCCTGGATGGGCAAAGATGTTTTGAAGGAACTTAGGAATAAAAGGAGGGTGTATCATCTTTGGAAGGAGGGTCTGGTGTCTCAGGAAGTATTTAAGAGGGCTGCTAGGGCATGTAGGAAAAAAAATTAGGGAGGCCAAAGCTCAGTTCGAACTTAATTTGGCAACTTTTGTAAAGGATAATAAAAAATGTTTTTACAAGTGTGTTAATGGTAAAAGGAAGGTAACACCAACCTTTGTTCTCTATTGGATGAGAGAGGGAACTTAGTTACTGCAGTTGAGGAGAATGCAGAGGTGCTTAACACCTTCTTTGCCTCAGTCTTTAGTGGGAAGATGGTTTGTCCTCAGGATAACTGTCCTCCTGGACTGGTAGATGGTGTTAGAGAGCAGAATGATCCCCTTGTTATCGAAGAGGAAGCAGTCAGAGAACTTCTGAGATGCTTGGATGTTCATAAATCTATGGGACCAGATAAAATCCATCCCAGGGTGATGAGGGAGCTGGCAGATGAGCTTGTGAAGCCCCTCTCCATCATTTACCAACAGTCCTGGCTCACTGGTGAGGTTCCAGATGGCTGGAAGCTGGCCAATGTGACACCCATTCACAAAAAGGGTGGGAAGGAAGATCCTAGTAATCCTAGACCAGTCAGCCTGACCTCAGTACCTGGCAAGATAATGGAGTGATTTATACTGAGTGTCATTATGCAGCATCTACAGGATGGCCAGGGTATCAGACCCAGCCAGCATGGGTTTAGGAGGGATAGGTCATGTTTGGCCAACCTGGTCTCCTTTTATGACCAGGTGACCTGCCTGGTGGATGCAGGAAGGGCTGTGGATGCTGTCTATTTGGACTTCAGCAAGGCCTTTGACACTGTCTCCCACAGGATACTCCTGGAAAAGCAGCCCACAGCTTGGACAGGAGCACTCTTTGCTGGGTTAAGAACTGGCTGTTTGGCTGGGCCCAGAGAATGGTGGTGAATGGTGCTGCATCCAGCTGGGACCAGTCACCAGTGGTGTCCCCCAGGGGTCTGTGCTGGGGCCAGTCCTGTCCAATATTTTAATGATGACATGGATGAGGGTATGGAGTCTTTCATCAGTAAATCTGCAAATGACACTAAGCTGGGAGCATGTGTCAATCTCTTGGAAGGTAGGAGAGCTCTGCAGGAAGACCTGGAATGTTTAGATGAATGGGCAGAGTCTAATGGGATGAAGTTCAATAAGTCCAAGTGCTGACTCCTGCATTTTGGCCACAATAACCCTCTGCAATATTATAGGCTGGGGACGGTGTGGCTGGACAGTGCCCAGGCAGAAAGGGACCTGGTTGACAGTCGACTGAACATGAGCCAGCAGTGTGCCCTGGTGGCCAAGAAGGCCAATGGCATCCTGGCCTGTATCAGGAATAGTGTGGCCAGCAGGAGCAGGGAGGACATTCTTCCCCCGTGCTTGGCATTGGTGAGGGCACACCTTGAGTGCTGTGTCCAGTTCTGGGCCCCTCAGTTTAGGAAGGATCTTGGGACACTTGAGAGCGTCCAGAGGAGGCAACGAGGCTGGTGAGGGGCTTGGAACACAAGAGAAGACTCCAGACATAGTCAAAGATAAAATATAGATCAAAGTCACAGAATAACTTCAGCTGGCATTTAATCCAGCTTCCCTGCAATGAACAGGGACATCTTCAGCTAGATCAGTTTGCTCAGTTTCACCCAATCTGATCTTAAATGTTCCCAGGAATGGAGTATCTACCATTTTCCCTGGGAAACCTGTTGCATTTGAACCACACTTTTCATGAAAGTATTCTTATATCTACTCTAAATCTACCCTCTGATACTTTTAAAATATTGCCCCTTGTATTGCAACAGGCCAACTAAGAAGTTTGTCCCCATCTAAATACTGAAAGGCCCCAGTAATGGCTCCCTGGAACCTTCTCTTCTCCAGGCTGAACAATCCCAATGCTCTCAGCCTTTCCTCATAGAAGAGGTGCTCTATCCTTCTGATAATTTTTATTGTCCTCTTCTAGATCTGCTCCAACTATCCAGGTCTTTCCTGTACTGAGGACTAATGAGCTAGACACAGTACTCCAGGTAGGGTCTCACCAGAGCAGAGCAGAGGGGCAGAATCCCCTCCCTCGCCCTGCTGGACACGCTGCTTTGGATGCAGCCCAGGATGTGTTTGGCTTTCTGGCTGCAATTTCACACTGCCAGCTCACATCCAGCCTCTCATCCACCAGCACCCCCAAGTCTCTCTCCCCAAGGCTGCTCCTAATCTGTTCATCCCCTAGCCTGTGCTGATACCGAGAATTGCCTGGACTGTGGTGCAGCACCTTGCACTTGGTCTTGTTAAACCCCATAAGACTCATATAAACCCAATCTTGAAGCTTGTCCAGGTTCCTCTGAATGGTGTCCCACTCTTCAGGTGTGTCAACCACACCAAACAGCTTGGGGTCATTGGCAAACTTGCCAAGGATACACTCGATCCTACTTCATCATTGGTGCAGATATTGAACTGTACTGGTCCAGATATGGATCCCTGTGTGGCATGGCTGATCCAGGCATTGGGGCACTGATCACTGTTCTCTGAGTGCATCTGTCCAGCCAATTCCTCACCCACTGAACAGTCCAGCCATCAAATCCATCTCTCCAATTTACTGAGAAGGATGTTGTGTGAGACTGTGTCCAATGCCTTATATGAGTACAGATATATGACACCCTTATCTCCTCCTTTTCCACTGATGTAGTCACTCCATACCAGCTGGCTGAGACATAAAGTTGTGTGGGGAGCTTTCCCATGCTGCATAGGAGTTATGCATTATTATTCCCCAACTAATTGGGAAAGGTTGTTTAGCTCCCTTGCTCCTCTGGAACATGTGCCTGAGAAAGTTAGACAGGAGGCCACTGGCTGCATCATATTCAGAACGAATAAATGCAAACAGTTTCTACTCTAAACAACAGTCTGATAAAATATAAAAGGTCACTGAGCACTGTTCACGTCTTTTGCAATGATTCCTTTAGAAAATTAATGCATTTGTGACTGTCTATACTTGTTTTATTTGAAACACCAATGGCTTTGCTATCAAATATCGGCCTTTGTAAAACTTCATCAATTTATTCTTTGGATTAAGTACAGCCATATTAATTAGATTGCATAACAAATGTTTGTGGAATCTGAATACTCTGAAGGACTTGAAAATCAATTTGGTTTGGAAAGGCTATTAATATCAGGTCACTTGGGAGTCAACTGGAGATTTAAAACTCTTCACCATGACTTCTAGAGCATATTAGTGCTTTCATGCAAGATGGTTCACTTTACCTTCTCCTCATTCCTTCACTTTTTATCAAAACGTACTCAGTTTCAAGCGACTGGAGCCATTATCTCACACCAACATCACAAGTGGAAGTTCTCTGATGATATTAGAGCCTCAGATTTAATGCCTCATTCTTGCATACAGTTGTGCAATTAAATTAAGCAGAACCCTGGAACAAACTGTCTCACCTGCCATATGTTCATTCTACCCCATTCAGCAGCTGCAATAATTTCCTGCTGGTAGCTTTCAGACATGGAAATTCTTGCTAGTACACAGAATAAGGTACTTCCATTCCAAAAAGGAGCTTCTGTTTTCAGCATTTGACAACAAGCAACAGCCAACTAGATTACATTATGACACAGCAAAAAATTATCCCAGGTAAGGCACTTCATTCTACCTTGATATTGTGTAAAGACCATGGACATGTCATTGAGGGACTGTCTTTCACTGTGAGAAGGATAAGCCAGGTGCAGACTTGTTCTGCAAGCTCATTTGAGCTTGATTTTTAGCTCTTCTTATTGAAAATGTTGTTTGGCTCAGCCTTTACTAGGCACTTGAGAATTCACACCAAATTAGAGAAATAGGTATTTAGATGTTTTTTGTCTCTGCTGCTCAGACTGTCCACTGAACGGAATCCCTTGCTCTGCAATTTGGGTGGCAAATGGAGACGTTTGGCTTTACAAGCAAGCCTATGTTGAGCTAATGGGAGTAGGAGAAAGGCAGTGATTATCCTCTCATTCCATTCCAAGACTTGCAAGGGAAGAAGCAGTCATTTCAGGTTTCATTAATTACATACATCTACAAAGCTTATTTTTCAGTGGAAAAAGGCCATGATTCAGATACTCAACATTAGCAATTTGTTTGCCTGAAATAGCAACTCTTCCCCCACCAAGCAATACCAGAATATTTTTGTTTCAGACAGTATTTTGGCACACTGCCTTTGTTGCAAGGAAATATAGCTTATTGGGAACAGAGACCCCTTTTTAAAGATGGATTTAATTTCATATCTCATCTTATCCAAGAAATTATATGGCTGTCTCAGCCTAAAGTAGATGTTACTATTAGCTATTAATGTGTCAGCAAATATTGCACCACCACTGCTCCTTGTCCTGTATGAGAATGTCAAAGAAAGTGAAAAGGACATCACTCATTGAGGGCCTGAGATGGAGGATTTAAGAAATATATCAGAATAAGTTGAGATTCCAGCCCAGCTAATTAGTTCCAGTAGGTAGATAAAGGTAGACTTTTGGCTGAAAGATACAAATTCTTTAAGAAGAAGTTCTTGCATAGCAACATT